TGTTTTAAAGGCTAGAAAATTCATCTTTAATCAGATTAAGGCACACAGAGAAACACCATCATCTTGTGGTTTTTCCTTCTCACTTGTAATTCAGAAACCAAATTCTGTAGGGTAGACTGAAGAGCTATGGACAAGGGAGTCAGGAGACCTGGGTTCAAGTCCTGACTCTGTCACTAGTTAGCTAGGTAACCAAAGACCCTTCGATACCCTCTCAGGACATCACTGCACACATTAGAACCACAATTAGAACTCAACCTGATAAATCTCCAGGGTCAGGTCTTACATCCCATAATCTCATAATTTTAAAAACCTGTTAGCAATTTGGTTCCAAATCTAATTATCCCATCTCTATATAAAATGCTTAAAGATGCTGCAAATTGAAAACATGAGGAATAATTAACAGTTAAATTGGAGAAGAGCCCATAATAGTTGCAATTATGAAGACTGAAATTATGAAGACTAAACAGGTTTCACAAATAATAAGTGCTTAACAATATACCACGGAAATAGATTTTAAAAGATAGAGCAAAAATACTACAATTAAAACAACCAGCTCTCTTTCTGCAAACCGTCTAGAAAAAGCAGGACGTGTTACAGAATGAAAAAACTCACCAGTGAAGCAGGGCTGAGGGATGTCGTCCAAGGAGTAATCAGCCCCTCTTCCCCACACTGGGGCCTCCCCTCTGTCGCGGGACACTGCTTCTGGACCTCGAAGCTCACAGCTTTTTTTTTTTTTTTTTTAATGTTTATTTTTGAGAGAGAGAGAGCACAAGTGGGGGAGGGACAGAGAGACAGAGGGGGACAGAGGATCCAAAGTGGATTCTGTGCTGACAGCAGAGAGCCTGATGCAGGGCTTGAAATCACGAGCTGTGAGATCATGACCTGAGCCAAAGTCAGACACTTAACCGACTGAGCCACCCAGGCGCCCAGCACAGTTCTTCTTAAAGAGAAAGGGCCACCTTCCCAAGATCGCGGCCACAAGAATGTGAGGATCAAATGACCTTCCCCTAGCTCATCAATGAGTCCAAGGAAAGCTGATCGCCGGGCCATGTGGGCCCGGTCGCAGGGTCCCCCCGGGGCCTGGCGCCCACTTTCCTGCCGCTCCGGGGCAGTTGCAACCATGCCCTCCGCGGGAGTCTGGCCTCTCCCCTTTCAGCACCACAGGCCCAGAAGTCATCCAGATGCCATCTCATCCTCCCCACCTCAGCCACTTGAACCAGCCGAGAGAGGAGACCCCACAGGCCCTCGATGGCAGCCCGCCTGCCACTGGGCCCGGAGCGACTGAGAACACGAGGCCCCACGTCTCACGGGGCACCCATTCTGTGGCTGCGGGGCTGACTGGGCGCCTGCTCGCCCGCCCCCTTGTGCCCAGCTGACCCCGGTTAAAGTGAACCGCACGGCATTAAGTCGCTAAGCCTCCCGGGGAGGTAGGTCACCCTCAAACACATTATCCCCCCTCAACAGATGGGGAAATGACGCCACAGGAAGATTAAATAACCCACCGGCCTCACACAACCCGCTGCAGGTGGAGCACGAGGTGATCCCAGCCCTCGAGCCGGCTCAGGGGTCCAGAATGCTCCAGATAAAGCCCTCCCGGCGACGGGGACCTGCACAGCAGAGCCAAGAAAGAAGCAGAGGGCCCCTGCTGAAAGCCACTCCAAGTGTCCCTCTTTTCCCGTGTGTCCCCAGAACACCGTGTAAGAGGATGCTTTTCAACCACAAGCATGAGAGGGGTCGGAGTGTGAGTGTGGGTGCAGAGAAGACTCCTTCCTTCGATGAGTACTTACATATCTAATGGGGGCAAGTCACGGACACACAGAATGAACTGGACCATCCTCCAGTCAAGAGATGTCATCGAGTGTACGTAAATCACATACATACAAGTGGAGATTAGTACAGGCACAGCAGGGGGGCTGGTAGTGGTTGATGATGGGAGCTCA